GGCATAGATTTTCCAGGGAGGGGCTGCAAGCCCAGACCCTGACCCTAGGAAGAGTAGGTTTCCCATGACTACCAGGGAAGGTTCTGAGTGAAAAGCATTAGAATCAGGTCACGGAAAATCTTCCCCAAGCTCTCATGGTTTGGAGGGGGCTTCCTGAGCCGCATTGTTCATCCTGCCGTGCTATGAGGGCCTGATATATGTGCTCCAGACCCAGGGGGCTGGGTGGGTGAACTAGTAAACATCTCACCGAGAGCTAAACAGCCCCTGGAAGGCATCAGGGGAACCAGCACATATGTTCTATCTCTTTTCTCAAATTAGCATATCTTGGGAACTCTAGGTGAAGAGTGATGTTATCTATTACTTTCTGTTATGAAATAACACCCGGAACTTCTGGAGATGCCTTGACTTGCCGTGGCCTGGAAAAGCCCAGATGAGAGGAGATCCAGCCCACAATTTTCCTAGACACTGACTCCCTGAGTGACTGATTCATTTCTCTGAGCTTCAGTCTGTTCACCTATTAAATAGGACATCGTAGGTTTGCCAAGGGGACCCAATTCAGCCAAAGTTCTTAGGATACTCCAGATCTGAGCTCCCACTCACACTACCTCCTTTCCTCACCCCAGCCTGCTCTGCTCACAGGGTCTTCATTTCAGTAAAACTCTGCTGGGTCCCCAAGCTTGGGTCTTCTTGGAATCCTGTCTTCTCAAACCTCAATCCAATCTAGCAAGTGTCTCTATTGCCATTTTTAACAAATTCATAGTAGGTTTGGTCTCTTAACCATGTCCCACAAGTCTTGTCTGTCCTGTTTGTAATTTTCACTTTTTCTTTATTACTATCTGAATACGATAACCCAGCAACCTGTCTTCTACCCCTAATCTTTTCTTCCCCTTGATCTAGTCTTTTGGTGAGGCTTTCAACTGAAGTGTGGTTTTTTTTTTTTTTTTCGTTTGTTTATTTTTATTTTTCTTTTCAAGTTTTCTCCTTGGTTCTTTTTCAGAATCTCTATTGAATTGTTCTTTCATGTCTTGTACATATTGTCTTTGTCAGTTCACACCGTTGTTTATTTGTACCCTCTTTGAATTCCTTGATCATTTGTAAAACCAGTCTTTCGAATTCTTTGCCCAACATTCATTGACATATTTGGATTCAGTTTTGGAAGAATTATGAATCTTTGGAGGAGTCATGTTGTCTTTTTTTTTTTTCATATTTCTTGCATTTCTAAATTGAGATTTATGCTTCTGTTGGAATGGATATGCTTTGTACTGCTATGTGAGGGTCTTAGTGAGCAGCCTTTTCTTGTAGACCTGATCCCCAATACCTTTCAGAGAAAACAAACTGCAGAAGTAATAACACAAACTAAATATAGAAGTGCAGTAAAAATCAATTAAAATGAACCTCTACATCACCTGATAGAACAAAGATAATGTAGAATAAGTTAAAAAGATACAAATCAATAGAGACAAAATTCAGAATAAATTAATTTTGAAAAGAAGGTGGTAGGAAAATGGAAGAAGAAAGAATAAAAATTAAAAAAGAAGTGAACAAGAGATGAAAAATCCAATTAAAGTATTAAAAGTAAATAAAGTTAGATAAAAATAAGGAAAAAAGAAAAATATAAAAAGGTAAAACAGGCCATACAAATCAAGAGCGAGTCTATGACATTCCTCTCAGTGCTGGCATTGGAGCAACTTCTTTCCAGGTCTTCTGATCCTGGATTCCACAAGGTATTGAAAGAAAGTGTGGTGAGTCACAGCCGGGCCTGATGCAATTCCTCTCCACTCTCCCCAAGTCCACACAGGTGGATGCTATGTGCAGACTGAGGCCTGCTGCACATTTCCCACTGGGTGGGGCCCCTCAATGGCACTTTCTTTGCCTCAGGGCTGTATTCACTCCTGAGTTTACTTATGAATGTGTGCCCTGTTAGGATACATGGGCGGGGCAGGTGAGCATTTACTTCATGGGTTCCTTAGTGTATGTACCTGGGAGCAGAGCAAATGTTCAAGTCAAAGCATATCCCCAGCTGTGCAGGATTGCAGAAGAAGAAAGCAGACCATGAATTGTGTGCGGTAGGGCTTGGGGTGAGGGAGCAGCCATGGGAACTGAGCAGTTCAACCACCTGTCTTGCTGTGGGTGATTTCACACGTGGCCCCTTCAGAAAATCACACACAGCAGGTCTCACTGCTCACCGCAGAGGGCAGTGCTGTTGCTCTCTGCTTTCTGGTTGCTACAATTTTTTTGCCACACCAAAGGCCTAAAAGCAATGGAGCCACTAAATGTGAACTGAAATCTCCAAAGCCATAGTAAGTATACAAATTTCTCCTTTAAATTGTGTATGCCTGGTCATTTGTCTCAGCAATAGAAAGATGATTAATGCATGACCTAACCTCCTACAAACAGTATTACCCACCCTTTAGACCATTTAGCCTATTTTTCTTTTTCTTTCTTTCTTTCCCTCTTTTTTGTTTTCTGATGTTGCTGGGGATTGAACCCAGGGCTTTGGTTTTTTTAATTTTATTTTACAGTGAATAAAAGATAAAAAAATCATTAAAACTGATACAGAATTTCAAAACAAGATGATAGGAAATCAGCAATGGTTATTATATCACATATGTTATCTTCCAAGCATTTGTTCAGGTTACCAGGTATAGGTATGCAAAACTGATCAAAAAATTAAGCATTAACTGTTCCTTTCAATAAACCAATAGGCATCAGTATTGTCTCCCTAGTGTAGGAAATTGAGAGTAAATCAAATCCAGAAGGTATAGTAGATATTGTGAAAGGGAAAGAAACTGCTCAAAAGAAAAGAACCGCTGGGATGAGGGAAAGGAGAAAAGAAAGAAAGAAGGAAGGGAACCCGCGGCTTTGTGCGTACGAGACTAGAGCCCTACCACTGAACCACATCCCCAACCCTCTACTTTATTTTTCTGCATGACACTTCCCACCTGCAAAGAGAATGCGAACCCGCACAAGTCATGAGTTAGCCTGTTTTGTTAACTGTTCAATTCCCTGGGCCTAAAACAGTGGTTGGCTACTATCTGAAAACATTAAGTGTTTACAGACACAAAATGCGTTTGCCCTCTTTTTTCGTTCTTCTAAGAAACTGCTTATGCTGGCCAGCAGATGGCACTAAAGTACCTTCTATGCATTGAAACCGGCCCGTCAATTTAGGGACCTGTTGGTGCTCTTTCTAAGTTTAAAAGTTAACAGTTTCTGGTGCCTTTGGTCTTTGCTCCCTTTCACTGGGACCTTTTAAGAGCACATTGAAGCCCAGTTTTGGAGGTTGATTATGGTGGGTTAGACGTAAACAGCATAAACAGGCTGCTGCAGCAGACTGAGTTAAATCAACAGGTAAGTGGCTGCACGATGAGATGGGGCCATAGGAAAGTACTAGAGTGCAACTTGAGAGAGTCGGCAACCAGGCAAAGTCCGGAAATAGCGATACTTAGAATAATAAGTGAAATAACAGAAACTGAGCTCATCAGCACCAGATGGCTCGGCGTAGGAGGGAAATCTTTCTGTCCGTGGGCTGAAAGACAGAGTCCCAGGGAACTCTGAAAAGGCAGGTGCTGCTACGGGGCAAATATGCAGACTGAGAAAAGGATGATCTGAGTTCTGCACAGCAAGCCAGGTGGGGTGAAGTTTTCAGCATTCCCCAGTTGATCTGGATGACGCTGTGGCAGAGAATCGTCTTAAGAAGCATCTCGCTGCCTGGGAAAGCAGTGTAGGAGAGTAGAAAACACTGCATGTTTTCTATCTTCAGGCCACAGTGGTCACTTCTCTCCAGGGCTGCAGAAGGTATGGCCATGGGACTCAGCCTGGGCCTTGGCAAATAGTGACTGTGGCAAAGGACAGCTGAGAACTCTGGGCGGTGCTAAATACGCTGGGCCCAGTGCAGCGCCAGCTGCTGGACAGTGGGACACTGATGCTGAGGCCGGGGCAGCTTCCACTGTTAAAAAATGCCCCAGAGACGAAACCAGCAGTTTGAACATCGTGACAGTGAAAGAGCTCAGTTGTTTGTAGATTTGCCAGGGCCTGGGGACTGGGAGTGTAACTGACACTACAAAACAGAACCTGAAGGGTTAGATTTCTTTTCTTTTAGACTCAAGCAATATCTCCAAAATTCTGCCTGCTGAGCACATAACCAGCATCTCCTCCCCTCAGCCCAGATGAAGCGACAGAATATGCAGGTGGCAGCCCTGAGAGGCTGGAACCTAGTTTCCTTGCCACAGGAAAAGGGATAATGAGTCGAAGATGACTGGAAGCTATAAAGCAGGTGGGGAAGGCTGTCCCATTTTTCACGGCACAGCTGAGACCATGAATGAGGATCTGACTTTGACCGTCCTGAAGGATCAGGGATAAAGTAAGTAAACGCAGCATTAAGTCGCTTACAGTAGCTGCCGCTGCCTTGTGCCCAGAACCCACAGCTCCAGGATCATCCTGTCCTGGCTGGCAGTCTCTGTAGCTCCAGATGGGCTAGCAGGGTCATTCCTCAGCCCTAATTCTCCAGCCACCTCCACACCTTGGAGGAAGGAGGCATCAGGCTTTAGATCCTCAGAAAGAAAACATTTCCACCCATGTCCACACCAAGCCTAATGCAAACACAAAATCTACCTCCTTCCAGGGTGACTGATGTGGAAATATCAGCTCCCTTCAGGTGTGCAGTCTGCACTACAGACCCCACAAGACGATCTCAATAGTTTGACAGTGCATTTCCCCAAAGTTAGTATGTTTCAGGCTTAGATAAAATTGTGGACTAAATATCAATAGTTGCAACTGTTTGTTTAAAAATACAATCTAGTCCATCCACTCTCCCTCCTCCCTGTGCCTCCTCTTTCTCCTTCTTTTAATCTTTCCTCCAGTGTGGAGTGAAGGAAATATGAGGACTCAGTGCACCCCCGCCACCACGGTTTGGATTTAATCTTATGAACTTGGAAAATATAAACCTAGATAAATAAAAACAAATAAACTGATTTTCCGACGAATGCTGGCGTTTATTTGGGAAGAGCAGGGCACTGGAATGGGAAGAGCAGAGCACCATAGTGCGAATACGCATGAGGTATTACACTGTTGTTCTCAGAGATGTTGCTGTCAGGGCAAGCTGGCAAAGACAAAGTCAAGGAGCATTACATCAGATGTTCTGGAGCAATAATACTTGGTCAAAATGATTAATAACAGCAGTGTCACTAGGCCAAGGTTGAGTAGCCAGTTGCTGGACAGATGTCCCTACAGAACTACTTTTTGTACAAGGTTTCTATGGCCTCTGGGGAAGGTCGCGGGTCTTTTACATCAGGCAATCATGCATAAAAACCCTTCCTGTACCAGCTCCTAGCTTTATTGACATTTTGTGTGAGGATTAGTTCAAGCACCTATATTTTGACTTTGACAACATTCATATTTCTTTTGCAGCAAAATATATATACGCACCCACATTGCAAACCTCCAAGAGCAGGCATAATGTCCAAAGGACAGTTAATTTATATCACAGTAGAACACACCCTTTCTTTTTTTTATTTTAAAAATTTAAAAAACCGACAAAACAGTAATGAAGATAAAATCAAAACAACACAAAAACAACAAAAACGATACATGACTTCAAAATGAAATGATAGGAATTTACAATGGTTTCTATATTACATACTGTTATCTTCAATGAAGTTGCTCAGTTGACTAGACATAAGAATTTAAGCTTGATCAAACAATCAAAGACAGTAACAAGTAAAAAAATAATTAAAAAATAAAACATTGGAAATGATATAGAGCTTCACCATACAAGATGGCAGGAGCTCCACAGTGGTTCTTACACTGCATATTGTTTTCCGATTACTCATTCTGATTACCAAATCTTTTTTTTTTAATGAAAAACAAAATTTATATGTATATATAAGGACAGTTAGAATATGTGTATTGCTGATATCTGTGGTTTATTGAGAGGAACAGACAATGCTTAAAATTTTCTTTTTTCTTGACCAATTTTGCATGCTTGGACACATCCTTTCTTGCTGAGAATTCTCATTTGACTTTCTTAACTGCATTGAACTTTCAGTGAGGAATGGTGATCCAGTTCCTGCCTTACATACACAAAGCCTCAACCAATAAGATCCTCCTAGATTCCAGGCAAGCCACACCGAAGTTTCCATCCCAGAAGGAAGAAACCATAGATGATGCTCTAAAACTCCATTTTACCTTGAAAACCTGTCAGAATTACAGGAAATGGCAAGGTTTGTACAAGGAGCTTGCGTATAATCTTTACCTAGCTTCTCCAATTATTAACACTTTGACATATTTGCTTTCGAACTCTGTATACTTATTATTGTTTAACATAATTTATTAATTTGTTTTTTGCTGATTATTTTAGAAAAAGTTACAGATGTCATGATTTTTGCCTGTAAAGGTTTGGGCACGTATCTACTAAGGACATTTCTTACATAACCACAATACAATGATGCAATTTAGGAAATTTAACATTAATGCAATACTAATACCCAAATTCACATAACTGTTAAAAAGACATTTCCACTTGTTCCTTAGACTGGTTATTAAACTTACATAGTATGCACTAAAATATATAAAGTAAAATTGTTCCCTGGACTTTTGCTACCATCTCTCCTACTTCCCAAGGGTAGCCTGGGTTACATAAACATTGCATGCATATTTTAATGATAAATGAAAAAACCCATATGAATGCAATTAATTCTCTAGATACTACACAGGTAAACAAAATTTTTTGAGATTTGATATCTTTTTTATTTATAGATCTTTGTGTTAATACATATGAATCTACATTATTCTTTTCCCCTTTTTTGTACTTATATAATACTTTATAGTTTGGATGTACTAGAATTTATTTAATCCATTTTGTTGGAAATCCAGCTTGTTTTCACTTGAATTTTCTGCCACAAAACATGCTTCCATGACCAACTTTGAAAACATTTTTTGATTCTGGTATGGAACCTAACCCCTCACATATGCTCGGTCAATGGTCTACCCCTGAGCTACAGCCTCAGCCCTAATGACCTACTTTGTACACATGTAAACCTTTTTGTACATGTGTGAATACCTCTAAAGGATAGATTCCAAGAAAGGATCTTTCTGGGTTGCAGGGATCACATATTTAGAAATTCTGGTTCAGAAATGTGCTTTTCTGGGAAACTCACTTATATTTTTCTCTTAAGCACTGCATCAAGTGACTTCAAATATACATCTGTGCCTCCTTGGTTTGTCTTTTAGGAAGGTTTTGAGTCAAATGTTTTTCCCTCTCTTAACAATATGTACACAACATCTATTCTCGAAGGGCTTGGTGTGAGTAACACCTTCACCCCTGGCTTCCTCTTACCACCTCCTTACTTTCACTTTTAATTTCTCTTGGTATGTGTACTAACTTAATACAATTCTTATTTTTTCTTATATATTTATATGTATGTAAAATTTGCACCACATCCCTCCAGAACAAGGTAGGTGTGAAGGAGTAAAACGGCTGACTTGAGGTTTTTGATGGCAGTCCGGGCTGCAGAGAGGGACAGATGACTAGCATCTACTGAGCGAGATCTGTTTCTGCCCAGGCCCTGTGGAGAGCTGGGTCAGCTCTTCTCAGCACCTTTCTAACACTGAGATCATCATCCCTGGTTTTCAATGACAGCCAGATCTGTAAGACTCCAGATCCTGGTCCTGTGGATTGCCATCCCTCCACTGGGGTGAAATGTGTGTTCTTGGTGGTGACTGCTTGGTTTTCTGCCTCCAATAGGCTTATCTTCCTGTCACCCCAACCTTTTAGAAAGCTGCTTCTAAAACACTATTGGGATGCAGGTGGGATGTGGACTTAGCCCAGATCTGACCCTCACACCGTGGGAGGTCTGAGCCTCTTGGAATATACTTGCATCTACTGTATCCAGTGGACTGTTGCCCATCCTCTCCATCGGGAGGTTTTTGAGGCAGAAAACATAGAAATCGGATGATGAACTTGGAGTGTATCCAGCTCCACTGATGTCCAAACAAAGGGGCTTTAACTATGGCAAGAGGGACTGGGATTAGCTCCGGAGGAGGACTTCGGCCTGGTGAGAGGTGCTAAATGTAGGAAAGAGTTAGGGAAGGTGAGTGTGGGATTCTCTTCAAGAGACTTTAAGAACAGGCCAAATCTCAGCCATCTGGGGCTTAGAGTGGAGAATTAATGTGGCCCCCGTGACAGCCCTGCTAAGCCTTCCTAGAAAACTACAAATCTGGATGTCAGCTGGTCATTAAACAGCATTACTCCAGGCTCTTTTTTCTTAGCAAAATTTGGCATAGGCCACCAGGTGGCAATAACTCGACAGAAATAAGACAGAGCCAGGAATAAAAGCATTCAAAGCAGACTGGATGGCTCTGGGGTCAAGAGAGGGAAACCTTTTTGTGACTCAGCGCTGCCATGGAGTAGGCTGGTGAAAGGGGAATTTGGGGAGCTGAGGGCTCTAGGTCTTCCTGTACAGGCCCTAGAGAGAAACTCAGAAGGATACAAAGGGTCTAAGGAGGAAGCAGACACCACTCATGGAGATCTTGCAGGCCTCTCAGGGATTTTGAGCTCCACTGTGTTCACCCTTGTTCAGATCAAAGACAGGTCTCTGCTTTCCAACGGATCTTGGACAGATGAAATGGGTCCCCTTTCTCACAGTGATGTGGCTGGAAGCAGTCAGGCCAAAGTATACTCATCAGCAGAGTTTCTTCCAGTTCAGGGAGGCCTGTACCTGTGGGATAAAGACAAAGGGAGATGCCACAGATTCTTTATGAGTTCTTATCTGTCTATCTCGTATACCAGTGGTGGCAAACCAATGGCGCGGGTGTTGTTTTTCTTTTAAGACAAAATATGTTCATGTGTGAGTTATTTTTTCTAAACTAAAACCTCAGTACGCAGGTTTAATTGCAGTGCGATAAATAAGTGGGTCTTGGGTTGCAGTTTGGGCTCTCGTCTATAAAGATTCACCCTCACTGCCTTAGACTATAACTTCTTGAGAGACCAAATCTACCTTGCACATCACCATACTCTCAGGATCTAATACAGTGTATCAGTTACAAATAGTAGAAATTCATTATGTATTTTTTTTTTTCATTATGTATTTTTTGAACAAGGAAATAAGTGATTCATAGAACAAGAAAGAGGTAGGTGTCATGGAGCTGTCCAGGGCTCTTATCAATACCTGACTTCCTCTGGTGGTTTGGCTCCCTAGGGCTTTGATACAAAGCCTGTAATACTTTATTATTAATACCTACTGTGCATTATGCACTCCCTTGACAGTCTTCCTGAACTCTTGAGGGCTACCAACTAGCCTGCTGCATTAGTTCCAAAAGAATGATCCTTGCAGCACAGAGCCAAGTAGGTTAAGTGCCTCATTCCTCCTCTGCATCTATGGCATTTTCAGTTCCCAGTTCCTACCTTACCCATGTCACCGGAGTGAAGGGGTATGGTGGGAAGGCAGCAAGGGATGGTACTGGAGAAGCAAGCTAGGGCCAGACTGTGAGGGCCTAAGGTACGAATTCATGGGACAGGGCGTGTGCCTTGTCCATCTCTGAGTGTTCACGGGGTCCAAAGTCAGAATTCCAGGTGTCCAAATGCCAAGCCCAAAGTCAGTAATCAATATAAGATGCGTGATTTCTAATTGTGCGGGACCAGAACGGGAATATGGACAATGAGGATCTGGCTCTAAGCTCAGCCCTCTGGAATGGCTGTTAATACTCCCCAAGGAGGAGAAGGTGAAGGGTCTTTCTTTCTACCAGTGTCTTCCTTGAATGTGCTTACTCACATCTGGAATGATTAAAAGACCCGGTTCTTGGTTCTTCTGCGCTGCTTTTGATTGCATCAGAGGTCCAGGCAATACAGGTGAAGGAGAGGAGACGGGAAGGTGAGAGCTGGGAGCAATGTGAGGCTCAGAGACTGAGTCCAAGAGCAAGGACCACAGTTTGGCAAACAGGCTCTGAGGAGAGTGTTTCTGCTGCTTTGCTTAGAAACCAGGAGGTGAAGAGATGGAATTTCAGAGGCATCCATGAAAATTAATAGATGGATTCAGGGAGCGATTAGGGGAAAGGACTCTAAGCTTGCTCTGGTGTGATGCAGGGAGCCTGGATAGAAGTTCCCAGTGCAGACTTGCAGTGAAAAGGTCCCAGGGCCAGGCACCATCGGGCAGAGGAGCTCCTCTCCTGAGATCCAAATGCCACCTCTTGCTGGAAACCTCCCGTTTTCCAAAGCCCTAGTTCTTCTTTGTGTTCACACCAATTTATTTTATGTTACAGAGGCTTGTGTGTGTCTCAGTCTCCCTGCCCCCCACAGCAAGGACTTCCTGAGAACAAGAATTCCATCTCAGCTCTTTATTTCTAGTGCCCCCTTCCTCCCATTGCCCAGCAGAATGCCTGACATCTATTTGGTAACTGATAAGGATTTGGAGAATTTGAAATTAGTTGAGACCACAGATGGGCAGAGAAGGCTGCCTGTGGGAAGAGATTTTTCAGTCTAAAAGAGCAGAAGTTAAGAAAGGACACAGCAGGAAGTTCTGAAGCACTAAGGTAAGCAGAGGGAGTTACAGGAATGTCTGGCATGTCTGTCCATTGGTCCTGGGGCTGGTCATTGCCCCTTGCCTTTAGATCCATCTGCTGCCTTTCTCCTGCAACCAATGTTTCCCAGGCTGCTGGTGCCTGGCTTCTGCCTAAGTTTGGCAGGATACTGGAGAGTGAGAGGAACGAGAAGGCAGGCATGTTTCCTGTCCTCTCTTCCTTGGACAAGACGGACCTTTTCTGGTCACAGCTGCATCGACGCAGCCTCTGTACATCCCCTCCTCCTGTCTTCTTACCTCCTGCTGGCAACTTCTGCTGTGGCTCTGGCTCCGGCTGGATGGCTCTGGCTTCTAGTTTTGGCAGTTCCTCCATCTCTTCATGTCTGAAGCCATGCAGGGGACACTGGCTTCCTCTGCTGCTAATTTAAGGGTTGCTTCACCATCCCCATTTTGGTGTCTTTGTCTTTCCAGTCTTACTGTGGCCCATCTTCTCTGTTAAATTCCCGGAAGTGGGAATACTGGACTGGTTTCAGTTTCTTTTTGCAACTGGACTCTGAACATTACAGTCTTTTTGTTTGTTTGCTTGTTTGTTGGAGCCAGAGTCTCACTATGTAGCTGAGGCTGACCTTGAACTCACTATGTAGCTTAGGTTGGCCTCAAACTTATGGCAATCCTCCTGCCTCAGCCTCCCAAGTGCTGGGATTATAAGTGTGCAACAGCATGCCCAGCTACCATCTTCCTGTTCTTCTTTTTAAAATTAGTTTTGACTAACATGTAGTAATTGTAATATTGATGGAGTGTTGCAGTTTTTTTGCTGAAATTAGCTGATGAAGGCTCAGTGCTTGAGTACCTGGACCAACCTCTGTCCTTAGTTCTCTAAATAAGGGTCCCTTACTTTGACTGCAGGGTCCTGCAAGGTGATCACTGGTAACCCTTATAAGAACCAGTGTAGCTTCCTGCTGTTCAGTGCCTCTGGCTTCTTCATCCAAACCTTCTGTGGCCTTTTATTCTTATGAAGGAGGATCTTCAGTCCTGGAAGAGTGGGGTGAGAAGTTTTGTGCAAGACCATAACCTACATCTGGGCACTATTTCCAGGATGCTACTTGCCTTCTGTGCCCTGTCATTTAGAAGAGGAGTATTTGAAGCATATTCAAAGGGAGGTAAACTTCAGGAATTTATTATCCCAAGAGCTGGTACCAGTAGGAAATATGAAACCCTCCCTGAGAGGCCTGGTTGAACCCAACAATTGATCTGTGTAGGATTATTAAGGGGAATGCGTTTGTCATATGGCCATTTCTTCTGTACAACAGTGTACCGTATGTCAGGGAGCACTGTCAGAGTCAGACCTGGGGTAAGGGGCCAAGACTGACCCCCTAGGGTCCTTCGCAGGTTGGCAGGGTGTGAAGAGACTCTCAGCCTCTGGTGGAGGGATTGAGACAAGGCAAGTAGAGCTGCAGGGGAGATGAGTGGGTGACTCCACGAAGTAAGCTGGGACCAGCCGCAAGCTTCCTCTGGTGTTGCAAAATGAAAACATTTAAAGTTTCAGTTTGAAAAGTAGATATGACTCTCACTGAGCAAGGACAAATGAGTGAAATAGAGCTAAGAGAGAGTGGAGGAAAGAGGCCTGGGTGGAGAAAAAGGAAGGATATTTCTGCAAAGGTCACTGAGGAGGCCGAATGGCAGGAGAGACAGGCCCTCAGCGTGCAGAGCACTGACGCCCATGCCATGTGCAGGATATTTTGGCTTCATGTATCAGGGCCTCCCCCTGCCAGGGGCATGGGAACACAGAGGCAGAAAAGATACATTCTGCTCTCTAGGAACTTAGGCTCTGGAGCAGAGGACCACAGGTCGGTGTGGCAAGGGCTGTGGTACGTGGGCGTGCCTGCAGTGGGGGATGGAAGGAGGAGCACCTGAGCAGGCAAGCTTGGTAGACGGGAGGGAGCTCCGTAGGGAGTCTTAAAGGATGCACTGTGGTTATGCAGGGGGAAGGGAAGCAGTGGGCTGGGGAAGGTGCTGCAGGCATCCGGAGACTGGTACCCAAGGGCCGAAATGAGAGGGAGCAGGGGGTATGTTTGGGGCCATGGGAGATGTTAGGGGAGGCTGAAGAAGTAACTGCTGGAGGAAGGTGCCCTGAAAGACTCCGTGTGGGGAGACCAGACTGTGAGCAGCGAGAAGCTGACAAAGCAGCACGGCAGAGGGGCGATACCATCAGATGCGTAGTTTAGAAAGATTATCCTGGCTGCGACAGCAAACACAGCCAAGGAAGGGTAATATCAGCGATGGCTCACCTGTTACCCGCCTCCTGACAGACATCACAGCCACGCTGTGCACGCGCAGTTCAGCTAGAACAGCCAGGCAGGTAGTTGAGGACTGTGTTGTCCCTAACCAGGATCCACGGGGGCTCCACTGGAGCTCCCTCTGGCACTGCGAGAGTGGTTGCAGCGAACCGCTCTGGGGCCAGAGATGCGGAGAAGTCAGCTGATCGGCCTCTGAGCTGCGCATCCCAAGCTCGCACGCGGAGAGCTCTGTCCTCTGCAGCTCATCGCGGGCGACGGGGTATGACTCAGTGGGACAAGAGCTTTGCAGGTGGAGGCAGAGGTTTAATGGCTGCTGATGAGTTGTGAGAGTGAGGGTTTTTCGGGAATGTATGTGAAGGAGGGATCTCTATACAGCTAAATTCCTTTATTAACTTAATGAGTTTGGCTGCTTTCCTGGAAACGCAAGTGCCATTTGGCACCATCACTGCTGCTTCAGAAAGGGTGTCGTTAAACTAAGAAACTGTGGGAATGCACAATAGCGATAAACGAAGCTGCTTGGGAGATTGCACAGCGTCACACAGACTTCACAAGGGCTTCTGAATGGAGAATGCTCTTGGTCCAAGGCCGGCACTCAGACGCTAGTGGAAATCCAGTAGTTATCTGGGTCATCTAATCGGTGCAGGTGACGTGGGGTGACACTGGGAAGACATTTTAAGGTGGAAGTAGAACATTTAAGGGACTCAAATTCCTCCCAGCACTTCTCTGTCCCTGATGCATCCTCAAGTCCAGGTTTCTTTCTCCTTTTTTCAATTTTTGGAGTAGTGAGGATTGAACCCGGGGACCTTGTGGATGCTAGGCCAAGTGCTCTGCTGCTGAGCTACATCCTTGGTCCAAGTCCAGGTTGCTAAAGATAGGACCGAAGAAGCATGCTTTGCTCATTCTATGCCCCAGATTTACCAGTGTTTCTAGATCCACTGAAGAGAAACTTGAGGGAAATTACTTTTTGCAGACCAGATTTAAAACCCTAAGGCTAAGGTAGATCATTGGATAGCTTGAGAGGAGAAATCTATCTGCTTGTCTCTTTTGTTCCTTGGTATGAGGGGGATTTTAAAGTTATGGGGAGAAGCTCACTATGACAGTCTCCGTCTCTGAACTGAATTTAGGCCTAAGAATTGGCTGTAGACATCATATGGCAGTAAAACCTTTCCAGTTGACATCAGCCAAATGACTTTGTCTTCATTCAAGTGATACCGTGTCCCCAGGAGCCACCATGGCAGAGAGAATGGGTCCAAGTGGCCATAAAACTATCTCCTGCTGACCACTTGTTCTATGCCAGTCATTTTAGTTCTCACAGCAAGTCTGTAGTGGTGATATTAGTCTCTTGAAGGTGAGAAGTATAGGCTCAGAGAGGTTTAGACACTGGCAAAGCCCATTCAGCTAGGTATGGTGGTGCATGCTTGTAATTCCTGGCACTTGAGAGGCTGAGGCAGGAGGTTGGAAAATTTAAGATCAGCCTGGGCAGTGCTCCTAGATTCTTTTTTTAAAATTTATTTTTATTTTTATTTTTAGTGCTCCTAGATTGAGTCCCCAGTCTCTGTCTGCCTATGTCTCTGTCTCTGTCTCTGTCTCTGTCTCTCTCTCTTACGCACACAAACACATGCAACAAGCCATTCATAGGTAAGTAGTGAAGGTAGGGTGGAACTCTAATTATTGTATACCTAAACTAGTGCCCTTCTCCATGTAGCTCTCCTTGCTGAGGAGGAAGGTGTGTATTAGCAGAGTCATCTGACTCTGAGCTTGAGTTCGTCTCAGCTGACAAAAGACTCTGTGGCTCCTTCCGTCCCTTCTTGGCTTCTATCCCAGGCAAGGATTCCACATGGCTGGGTGCTTTTATAAAATTTTTATTTTTCAATTACATGCTCATTGTAACAAATCCAAACAATACAAAAGTGGATAAAGTAGGTGGAGAAAGGTCTTTCCACCCGCCCCTCCCAGTTTGAGACCATTCTCTATGCCTGTGACACATGGAGTGCAGCTGAAGGAGACAGCTCTGAGGCCAGATTGCCTGCCTCCCTTCTGTATTTACTGCTTACTAACTCTGCCACCCTGGAAATATTCTTTAACACGGTGCCTCAGTTTCCCCATCTTCAAAACAGGCTGAGAGCCCTTATCTCATGAGGTAGGTATATGGACCAAATATTTAGATAAGTGTCTGGCCAATAATAATCATTCAACAAATCATTAGCTATTTTTATTGTATATGGTGTTTAAAATCCAAAATGAGTATTAGCACTGTACATATTGTGCCGCAGCCTCCTTTTCACTTTACAATATGTTGTAGGTTTCTTTCCAAGTCTGTACATATGGTACTTCTTTAATGCTTGTGTAGAATTTTATCTGTAAGAATATACTATAATTTATTCATGCAAATGTGGACATTTAAATTATCTCCACTGGTTTTGCTTTTTTTTTTTTTACCTTTACAGTGTTACACCTTTACATAGTCTTATGGAGAAGTTACTTTTTTTTTTTGGTTTTTCTCCGGTACCAGGAACCGAACTCACGACCTTGCGCTTGCCAGGCAGGCGCTTTGCTGCTGAGCTAAATCCCCAGCCCCTACATAGTCTTATGAACAGTATGGAGTACTAGAGCAGGATTACAGGATGCTAAGATATAGATAGATAAATTTTAAATTTGATTACATATTTAAAACTTTGCCAGTATTATGCCAGTATGTTTTCACTAATAATGTTATAAGGGGAAGCCCGTGTATTCATCCTGGACTTACTTATTTTATAACTGCTGGATTAAAGAAATATACAACTAAATTTACATACTAAAGGTGTACATACAGAAGTGAGCTAGGTCCCTACTTTAAGGCACAAATATGAATACTGCATGAAAGAGACAATCGGAAGAAAAAAGTAGCAAAAGACAAAGTTCCTTCAAGTTCAACTTTGAAGTAAAGATAAGTTTGTAAAAGCACTATTGAAAGGTTGTGTAATCCTAACAATATATGCTTATTGTTATTCCCATTTTACAGATGAGGAAACTGAGGCATAGAGAGAAGTTTGCCTAAGAATGGGCAGCTGGTGTGTGGCAGAACTTAGAAGCAGAGCCCGCACCTCCTAATGCCAGGCTCCCATGCATCTGTTCAACTATGCTGAGGTCCATGCATACTTCAGATTTGAAGAGACTGATGAGGTGTCAAAGAAGTGAG